GGTAATGAAACGTTTGCAAGAAAAGAACCAAGCTCAGAGAACCCCAAGGACTCCACAAAATGATCTGATGTGAAACTAAAGGGAGGAAATGCTCGGAGTAATCCAGAGACTGGTACAGGAATGATGAGTTATGCTGAAAAAACAAATGCTATAAATATTAGGGTCCAAGAACAAATGGATGAATAGGAAGTTATAAGTGCTACAAAAAATGGTAAGGCTGCAGGTTTAGATGGTGTAACTGAAGAAATGTTAAAATGTGTGATTTGCTTATGGTGTGCAATTTTTTAATATGTGGGAAGACTGCATCTGTGCCTGATGAATGCTGTAACTGTTCCCTTATTCAAAGGCAAAGGTCGGAAGAGTAAATTACATTTACAAAGGGATTAGTTTGTTAGGTGTTCCTGGGAAGAATTATAAATGAAAGTGTAGAAGAGGTGGAAACAAGAAAAATTGGGAAATGCAGTGCAGCTTTATGTCAGGCAGGGGACCACATTTTTGCACTTCAGAGGTTGGTGAAAAATACATGGATGTAAAAAAAAAAGGTTATTGCATGTTTTTTGATTTAGCAAAAGCATATGGTAAAGTGTATAGGCTTGGATTATGGAATGTTTTATATGAATATGGAATTGAAAGTTGGTAGCTGAATGCAGCAAGAGTAGTAATGACGGAAATAAATCATGCAGGAGAATAAACGGAGTGCTTTGCAAAAGATTCAACACTGAGCCAGGAATAAAAGAAAGATATATCATATTCCCTCAGTTGTTTAATATAATTCTGGATAAATGTATAAGAAGTGCTTGTGAAAATGGTAGAAATTAATCAGTTTGGGACATGAATGTACATGTACTTTTGTATGCATATGGTGCCATGTTGAGGTTGAGAACCTGAATGATTTGCAGCAAATGTGAGCTAGACTGTATGATGCAACAAGCTTTTGAATGCTTTTTTTAAAATGCTGGTATAAAGGTAATGTGTAGTATGTGGTTTATTATGAAAAATTACTGTTCGTTGAAAAAAGCAAAAATGGCTGTGTATAAGAACACATGGGGGACGCAGTGGCGCAGCGGCTTAATGACGCTGAAAGTTGCCGGCCAGCAATGGTCGACGCTTCAGCGGCTCGCGTCCAGC